ACAAAGACACAAAAAGGAAAAATTTATTTCTTTTTTTTGACTTTTATTGATGCAATTTTCCCATATTGACTCAGCAACGTAAAAAAACTAATGCAAGCATTTAATAACAAATCAATGTCTCTTTAACCATTTTGCAAACCAATAAAGCAAACGTTTTGATAGAGAATCACCAAATGGAAATATTTGATATGTGAGCATCCGTTGGCAGTCTTGAGTCAAGAGTTTTAAAAGAAAATCATCCCATAACTACCGTTTTAATGTACTCATTCTTTGTAAAACTGTCTGTTTAATGTTTAGAAAAGACTGTGAAATCAATCTAAGATGGTAAAATTATGCCTTGGCCCCTTGAAAAGAAAATGGCTTCTAATTCTCCAGCTCAAAATACTATGCGCTTACACTCCTTTCGATGTGTTCTTTCGTTGAATAGAGATTTTTAAGCAAATTTGGGTAAATTCATGCTAAAGCTTTACTTTTTCATTCTCTAAGAATGAATAGCCTGTTTCAAATGTGAAATAGAAATTAAAAAATAAATAAATATAGACAATATGGAATAGAATATCTATTTGTCACAAGAATGTGTTTTTGTAATAAATAGCACATAAATCCAGTGCAACATTTAATAATATATTGCCTTTTTTGAAAGGTTTTTTAGCCATTAAAATACTTTTTCTCACTGCCAACCTTATTGTGCGAACTTTGAACTCTGACTACATTGTATATTATTATGTTATGCGCTGCTCAGAATGTTCGACAAATCAAAACTCTTTTCCGAGCCAGACATACAAACACCTGGTGTTTAAAAGGTTTACGAATGAATATGAATTTAATGAATTTAGTCTGTGCAGCTGTACAGACTCTTAGGCTTATTGTGTTTGCCTCAATTTGGGGAAAGCAGTTGAGAAAGCAACGAATCCTAATTTTTCCGCCAAAGTCTTGCTTCAGAGAAGCTAAAAGTCGTCGAGGGTGGAGTTAGTGTGACGACCATGGGGTCGAAGTCCTTTCAGCATGTCACATGTTGTCGACACGAGAACAAACGAAGCACTTGTGAACAACCGGACTGAAC